AAAGCGGGTGTTTTTGTCCTGGTTTTGTCAACCTTGGTGTTGGTGATTGAGAGTTTATGATGAGCCTGCGCAAGCCAAGCAAATGTTACACTCAGTTCAATGTGTAAACTATACAAAAGTAGAAGAGTCACCATGTAGGGACAGAACCTTATATTACTATGTGCCATGATCTTTTTTGTGGAGCGGGGCGCCCTCCTTGGATAATGGTACAGGAAGCACTGGGAATCTGAAAGCTGTTTAAACAAGCCCGGCCATACACAAAAACAGCTTGCTTAAAAGTACGCAGTACTGACACAAGTTGAGCAGAGGCAGCACATCACTCAGAGAGTTGAGCTTTGATACAGAAAGCAGAACTTTCTTGGTTTAAAATAAATGAGTATGTTGAGAAGATTGTTTATATCCTTTGAACCCGAAGAGTTTCAGTATCAATAACCTAAAATCTCTTCCAGAGATTCGTGCTAAAAGTCCCGTTTTCTTTTCCTGATCATCTCTCTTTGATCCAGACAAGTAATCTGTCTCTTAATCAAACATCTGACAAAGAAGACTCTATAAATCCTGAAGCTCTCCTCACATTTTTAACAGTGTTTCCATGCTTTCTCAGATCACCTGGTTTAAAAGAAAAATCTGCACAAGGTGGAATGTTCTGCCTGAGAGGAGGGGCAGTAATCCATTCCATGAGCACCAAGAGAAACTGAGCTGCAAGTGAATTAGATGCAGACAGTTTGCTATGGAAATTGTGAGTGCTCTAATAAATTGACCCGATTTTCTTAATTTTAGGTGATCATGATACTTACTTACATGTGAAACTGACCTTATCTACTGATCTTATCTACTTCAGAAAAGATCTGAAAATGCAGAGTTGGTGTAAAGCCGAAGTGACCATAGGCTTCTTGCTGGCCAGACACACACAGACAACTACATTGAAAAATGATGCCACTCAGATTATTGTAGTGACTTGCTTACAAAATCCCTCCATCTTCTTTCATTCACACAACACTTTTGGCACGCACGCTGTTTTTTATTACATTTTGTTTCTTTCTAAGATATGATGATGATGATGTGGACAAAAGGTGTACTTTTAATTTCACACTTGGCGCACAAAATGATGATTCAACTAATTAGTCGCACTTAGGAGCCTATTGTTTTTTCAGAGTAAGGGCTCTTGCTTTGACAGCTAAATAATAAACTCCCGTCTTTGTATCACATTCAGCTTCTGGGAATCCTTTGCTGCATTTGAATTGCATAACCTGAACACCAATGGATTGAATGCACCTTTTAGAGATGGAAGGCATGATTACTGCCTGTCATCACTTGCTGTAGATTTTTAAGCCTTGCACTGCTGTAAGAACCAATTCTGGTACAGATTAACCGATGGCATCTGTACCGACACTTTACGCTAGGCCAGAGCAAAGAACTGCTGTAATCAGTAGCTGGAAGTTGGTGGTGTCATGGAGCTCTAGTTTTAAAACTTTGAAGTTGCTTTCAGTTTTAATTTGCACCTTTTAGAACACCATTGTCCCCTGTACCTACAACTGAAGGGGGTCCATGCATGGTGGGTGGTTGTATGGGCTGCTTTCACAGTGGAGATGAGTAATATGGTGTACCGAACCGCACCGACCGGAGTTGTACTGCTCACTGGAAATGTCCCTGATCTTCTAGTGTTGAGGAGCAAACATATCAGATTGTCTAGACCAGAATTTAAACTCAGAGATACTTTATTGATTCCAAAGGAAAATTAAATAGCTAAAGAAGGACCTGCTTTTTTAGTTAAGGTTTCCTTTTTCACAGTGAATTATTCTAATTGTTTTATTGCCCTGCACTGATAAATTATATTTTTGTTGACCTAAAAGGTTTTGACTGGCAGTATTGTTGTATGTTTAGGATTGAGGGGTGGGTTGTGTTGCTACATAAATAATCAATTTGTAATCCCATGGTCACCTTCCGAATGGTAATCAAATTCTAAAGCACTTTAAAATTTCCACCCCTAATCATGATCCAGGTTTGATCTGTTTAAACCTCATTTACTTTGGTGCAAGTCCTGATGAAGTTGGAGTGAACACCACAGTAAGATTGAAAGAGCTGTCTGATTCATTCAGAAAGAAGATTGTAGCAGTTAATGACTCTAATAAGGGATTTGATGCTGAGGTCTGGTCATCTTAGCAACTTCAAGCTGAAAGCAGGATGCTAGGAGTTTCCCAAAAGCCTAAAATATTATCACAGGACACAGCAGTCTCTTGCTCCTCTTGATATGGAATTTCATGACTGGACAATCAGAAAGAGACTACAAGAGGAAACCTTGGTTGTTTAAGAAAACCAGGAAAGCCAGATTAAAATTTGGCAGTCAGAAAACCGTTCTTTTGACAAATGAGTCAGACTGAATTATTTGGACACCAGAGCAGAAGACATGTTTGGTCTAAACCAAACAGCATTTCTGGAAAAGAACCTTGGAAACAGGGTAGTGTGACTCACTGCTTCCTCAGTCAGAATACAGATTTCCATTGGCATCTTTTGTTTCAGTAAAATGAAGCTGATATTGTTTACTTGTACAGGGTTTCCTCCAGTGTATTGTAAGCCTCCGCCAGGCTAAGCATTGCTTGTTTTTGTTTGTATAATAATAATAATAATATTAATTAATTAATAATTAAGCAATCTTTATTATTATTATTATTATTATTATTATTTATTTTTTTTAATAAGTTAGACTGCAAGGGTGTCTGTTGCGCTGAGTGTTTCACTGGCGAAGCAGAATTATTCCTAAAATGTGGTTTATAGTTGATGCATTTAATAGGCCATAAAGCGTGGACCAATCACACACCACTGGCGCCTGTGCGTATTGTCTTGCACGCCATTACTGCTTGATGTCTGACACATTATATTAGCCTGGCCTGCCAGGCTTATTATATACTGGGGGAAACCATGACTTCTCTTTAGGAAAACGCAGAGCCGGTAAGATCTGGAATGGTTCCACGTGCCTCAGTAGTGTGTCATTGTACCTCTGTAGCATCCAGAGTTGGTCTGATCTCACGGATGTCTTGATTGGAGCTAAGCATCTTAAAGTTTTATTCTACTTACAAAGCTCATTCCTGGCATGCCAGGGCTGTGTCCTCCACCAAGTACACTCCAGCTTTAAACACAGAAGCATTTGTAGCCACACCCAGTTCCTCCCGCTGGCTTCTGAGTGGTTAACTGTATTTCTGGCTTTTATGTGCAGGCCTGCCAACACTGTTGAAAACCTGAGGAGGGGGAAAGATGAAGGAATGAATGGAAAAAATGACTAAAACACTACAGAGGGAATTCAGGTCAGGGAAAACAGGGAAGCAAGGCGGGAGGAGGCCAGAAAAAAACCAGCATGTTCAGATTGTCTGTCATAATTACCTGGCTTTGATCATTGTTTCACTGATTGGTGGAGATTTAGGCATTGTCAAGGCAGTGTTGCTTCATATTTTTCACTCTTCAAGTGTGGAGAATAAAATCCAAGAGATTTTGACTGAAGACATAATTTGTGGTAAAATCAGACGTGATGTCACACTCTTGTGCTTTTGGCTGGAACTGTAAGCATTTTAGCATTCAGGTCAGTGCATTAGTGAGCTAGGATTTTCCATTTGATGACGTTGAGCTGCGCTGCTTCAGACGGCAACAATATTTCTTTCTAGTCGGGCACAATGGCTGCTGCCTGTATCAGCCACTGAGTTTTCTGGGACAGTGTTTTTTGTTGTTGTTTTCTTTCCTGTTTTTACATTTTCTACAAATAATAGTTTTACCCAACATAAAGAGTGAAGACAAACTATAGAGGCATATGAGTCAACATTTTAACTGTTATATTAACATGTCTAAAACTGTTGTTTTCATGCCTGTCTTCTAGATTATGCTGATCATTGCTAAAGTTTTTAATTTCCAAAAGTTCTCTGTATCATCCTGTTCCGTTACTGTGGAGAGTTAATAGTGCCAAATTATAATAAACAGTGTATGAAATAAATATTTAAATGTCATTAGTTTATTAAAATGAGAAATAAATACAGCAATAACATTAAATAAATAATTTGACGTGCCTCAAATATATTGATTTCATTTTAAAAATGAAATTAATATATTACCATAGCTCTAGTTTGAAACATTTCAAACTATAGAGCTATTGAGGCTGGAATTGCTCCCCCAGAGTTTGTAGTAAATCAGTTACAACAATTTATTGATGTTATTTCCAGTGAAAATACTGACCAAGTGTCATAACAAACTTGGAAGAAGTTATCTTGACTGCTGTTTGAAGCAGCCAATCAGACAGTGGAGTCTTCCAGTAACCCCGCCAACTGAGTTTGATGGATGATTTTGACAGTTGAAATGAATTTATGCTGTTCTTCAGCTCAGGAATATGAAACATTAAGTCATGATTAAATTTACCTTATACATTTTTTTTTATTAAATTACTCGATTAATTGTCAGAATAATCAATAGATAACATGATTACTAAAATAATTATTTACAACAGCCCTATTTGCCTACACTTAAAAACACAACTATAGAGCCTTAAAAACAACAAACAAAATTCTAATTAAAATATATATATATTTTTTTGGTAAAAACACGATGTGATACTGATCACATTTAGAGCCGGCCCAAGGCATAAATGAACTAAGTAAAGGCGGGCCTTCAAGGGTTAGGGTAAATGGTACAATTTTAACTCGGAACATAAGAAACTAATTTAATGTTTTAATATTTGTTTGAGAATGTCAATGCTACTAAATTTGATTTAATATTTTCAGCAAAGATAAATAAGATTTAAAATTTTCACATTTAAATGTAAGACTAAAACCTCAACTGTGTAAAGTAAAGTTGAGTCTAGCTGCGCTGTTGAGGGGTCATAACTTAATTTCCAACAACCTCTTGCTGATATTTCTGTTAAAAAAACAAAACAAAACAAAAATCCAAACTAACCCTTTGCTCCCTGCATCCATTCATCACCCATATTGCTTTGTGCTAACTGTTGATTTTTGTCTTTGCTGCAGTTTCTGAGCCCATGGTCCAAGTCCTGACTGACTGATCATAGTGGTGGTGCATACAGACTTACTGCTGGGGTGAGTGCTCTCAGCTCTGGCTGTTAAACCTCTCTGTTTACTGTGTTACTGTTGGCCAGTGTGTGCCAGTTTACTGTAAACAGTGCTGCTCATAGAGGGACCTCCATGCTTACTGGTTAAATATGGTCAGTGCAGGATGATGGCATGCACAGAGTATTCACAGCGCTTCATCTTTTGTAAAAAATTCCGCCAGCGCCCCCTGCCGTCCTCTGAACGTCCCCTGGGGGGTGGTACCACCCCCATTGAGAAATGCTGCTCTAAAGCAATTTAAAAATACAGTCATTGTTTGATTTCCTACTTTACACTCCGAAATTCTGCTGTCATTTAAGTGGTACTCACAAAGTACTACAAGATAACTGTGAAAAATAATGTTTATCCTCTACTGTTGTTTTACATTAGGTTTATGAGAGCTGTTTCTGCTAGTTCAAGTAAAAAATGAGGCCATGACCTAAGCAAACATTAGCATGAAGGCTAATTAAAGCTACCAAATAGAGGAATGTTCATACCGCTGGATGTTTTGTCCTTTTGTTTAACTTGGGCCTTTTTTTTGTTTTTTCTCTTGTGTTGCAACAGTCAAGACAAAATGGATCCGTTTGACCATGGGAATTTTTCAGACCAACCATGCTTCAGTTTGTAACTGTCAGGCTTTTCCATACTTGCACCATATAGAACAAAAAAGCTTAAATAATCAGTACTTGTGATACTGAATGAATTAACAAATTGGGACGGGGTGACTGAACCTGGAGGTCATTTTATTTCTTTCTTTATTTATTCTTTATGCCTATTTTTAGGCCTTATTTATATGTCACCTTCAGCCTCATAGTTCATTTTAAAATCAGCTAAAGTTGGTGATAATAATTATTGAGGGTAATGGCATTTTTTGGGAAATTATCCAAATTTACACAATAGTGTTTGCATGAGTCATTCTTGCTGTAAAAGGCACATTGGTTTCCGTCTGTATTAAAGTATTATGCAGCTCTGGCAGCTGATTGGGTGCTTCCACAGATAACCTGGTTTACAACCTCTTATCCTAAAATGCTTTGTAATAGATCTGTTTATGGTCACCTGATTGCCTCTGGCTTCCTGTTTGTTTGACTGTTAAACCACTTCTGGTTTGTCACGGTGTTACTGAAAATGGATTATTGCTGTGTGCTAGGATAATTAACAGATTACTACAGGAAAGCTGTTAAAACGACACAAAACAAAGGGCATAATCTGGGATATTAGGTAGCCACCAAAAAGCTTCCAGAGCTTGGTCAAACATGTGAAAACAACACAATTTTAATTTGTTCAATTGGCCCAATTAAGAGTAGAACAGCCAACTAGTGGGAAACGGCTTCTTTATTAATAATAAAGTAACTGGCAAAAACAACAGACGGACTACCTTGGTCAAACATGCAGAAATAAACTGCAACAAACATTCTGTCAAATGGTTCATAAAGTGCAATTATAAATGCTAAAAAAAATAATGTAAAATAATTGGTAAACGGGGAGGAGGGAGAATTAATATTTGTTGAAACATTGCAAAATACAAAAACAAAAACCCTCTTATGCACCATGAAATATAAAAACCATCCCCTTATTTCCATCAGTTGTACTTATCTATTGCATTCTCCATTAAATGATTTAACAAGAAATGACGATAACAATAGCTGTTGTATGTGCAGAGCATTATAAGCAAGCTAAGTTGTAAAAAAAAAAATAGACTGGCGTCACGGCATAGAGCTGATCAAAAGAATTGAACGTCCCATCATACTCTTACCAGGTATGACTTATAGTTAGAAATATACATCTTTGGAAGTTTTCAGCTTTTGCTCCATTTTTAAACTAAGTTGAGAGCTTTTGTCTTGTTAGCCTCTGCAGTGGTAGTTTTTGATATGGGCGACATGGGCAACCACCTAGGGCAGCATCTTCGAGGGGGTGACATTGACGCACTCCTCTCCCCCAACCCCCACTTTGACCTCAAATGCCCCAGAACCCCCTTACACCTTTCATTTTAAACTCTATGAAATGCAAGTGTGCATTTGGTGTATCACATATGCTTTTACATTCCTTTAACATAGAAAGGAGCAATACAAAACCTTAATTCTGAAGGAGTGGGACTTTTATTTTGCTGTGGTGGCGGGCCACCAGCAGTTACTCTTGCTGGAAACCCAAAAAATAGAATTAAATTGACTAGATCAGGCCTTATGGATCAGGTACAATGTCAGCAATACCCAGGCTAGAATATTTTTCAATATCCGACACAGATATTGATATTGGATCGGTGCATCTGAAAACCTGCAGATGCACCAATTCTACTGCATCTACTGCTGCCAGCCAAGCTGAACTCCATGTCTGTTAGTTTACACCAAGCCTATCAACATTCCAGTGTCATAAACTATGCAACGCCATTCAGAGGCATCTCCTGACAGGAAGTCTTTTTATTCTCCCCAGGTTTGTCAGAATCTAAAAACCTGATCTAGCAATTCACCATACATAATCGGATGTTGCTCACTCAGACATTTTAAGTATTGATGAGCAGTTTAAAAATGTGAGGAAGCAGGAAAGGTGTAAGATTAAGAAGCCTGTAGAATGAGCTACTGGCTCATTCTACAGGAGCATAGGGGCTTTGACCCTGCTGTACAACTGATTAAAAAAAAAAAAAAAAAAAAAAAATCTACAAGGTTATTGTACGTGGCCGAGCTAAAGCAGCATGTTAATCTGTTGTGGGATGTAAGCTCTGCCAACTTAACATTACATCCCACTGATATGAACATTTTCAGGTTGAATTATTTTAAACTTCTAAAGTAAGCTAAAACACACAAAATATCTCTGACTATTTATTTATATAGCACCAATTCACAACAAATGTGGTCTCAAGGCACTTCAATCACACATACATTCCAATTGATCCTAGTTATCAACAAAACAGTATACTAAATTATTCAAAGAAGATTAAAAAGTTTCTATCCTAGGAAACCCAGCAGATTGCATCAAGTATTGGCTTCCACCACACTGAGCTCTTCCATCTACTTCACAGAGGGAACTATTATTGAAAACGTGGCAGGACACAACTTGATAAAATACTCGAAAACTAAAACTGTATAATAGGAATACATGATATATCAGCACTGACATCAGACAGGCTGATTGTTTTTTTTAACATAATGAGCCAATAGTAAAGAACTAGAGATGTGCCGATCAGGTTTTTTCCTACCGATTCCGATCACTCATGAGGGCCGATAACCGATACCGATCACAAAATTATTTTTTAAATCATAAGCACTACCGGTTACATTTATAGAGGTGTGCCAATCAATCGGCACACCTCTATAAAGAATCCATGTTTTTTTCCATCATCTTGCCATTTGTGTATGGTAATGTAGAGGTGAAGGATATTGATCGTATAGTTTTTGTTAGGGCATGTGATAATGATGCAGTGCAGAATTGTGGGTATTATAACTGAAGCAGAGAAGTCAGTGGTGTGGTATAACCTCGGTAGATACCAGTTATAAGTCTTAGCAATAATTTTGGATTTTGATGTTGGCCAAAATGTTCATCCTCCCACTGAGCCATATGAAGTGGGAACATGAGAAGCACAAAGCCACTGTCAAGAGCCACAAACAGACCCCAGAAATGTCAAAATTTTTGCTATGCATAATTGTAATGCAGCAGGATTTAAAAAGGTCTTTAAGACCCTTAAAATTTGACATGCTGAAACTGTTTTAATATACGTTGTAATAAAGTCCATATTTTCCACAGAGCCATGCCAGCTGTTAGTTTAGGCTGCCACATCAGGAAGCTAGACATCCATAAATAAGAGGATACGTGATGTACGGCAGCAACGTTCCATTGTCATGGAACGGTCTGGATGAAAAACTCCTGACAACCTGTTGAAAATGTCAGAGTTAATATAGAGTACACTCTACAGGGATCAACATTTACAGTCAATTATACTAACTGTGCTAATATAAGGTGCTAAAGACAGTCAAGCCTGTGGTCATTGTGTAATGTAATGAAAACCTGTCTAACTGCAGAACTGACTGTTCTTTAAGATGCATGGGCCTGATAGAAATAATGACCACTTATGATAAAGGTATTTGTAAGACTCCATTAATGTAACAGTAATTTCATAATTTTAAAAAAATTAAAATGATTTCTTAAATTATTCATCCAAAATATTAATTAAGCCATTACCTTTGTATATTTTGAAATGCCCTTTAGAAAATATGTTTGTTTCCCTTTAGGAAACAAACATTAGATTAAAGAGATCAGATGTCACTAATTACGTTTCTTTTCTTGAGCCAGAAATGATGGAACATTTACTTCTGCAACTCCAGGGTTAACTTCAGCTTTTTAGAAATCCTTTACAATATTTGGATTAGATTATTTCCTGAATGTGCAGATTACTAAATATGTACAAGTCTTCTTTCTGTAGAATCTTCATAATTTTTCTGGTTGAATTATTGTGTGTTTGGAGGATTATTCTGTCTGGTTCTAGATCCTGTCCTGAGCAAAAATGAGTTTTACTCTTTCTATTCACTTACTTTACTTTCAGACAGTTGCTATGATGCATATTTGTGGCAACAATGTATTATTTTTATAATTTATTATTTTTACAACTGTGAGCAGCTAATTGGTGCGTTAAAAGCTCATTAATCAAAGCTTTGATATAATGAAGATCTCCATTTTTTTTTCTTTCTTTCTGTTCATGAAAGTCCCATCTGGAAATTCCAGAGCAGCCCCAGCACTTGTTTCTCTGTAACTTTTTTGAAGAGATGGCTAACTTGACTGCTAATGGTAAGCTAGCTCAGTATGAGGAAAGCATAGCTCAGGATAGCTGATTGAGTGGCTGTGCCTCAGCTAACCTGCAGCATGCAGAGCAGGTTTAACTGCTCATCAAGTGAGCCTTGCTGGCACAGCCTGCATGCCACCATCTGTCACTGACACACACTTCTCCTTGTTGACCCCAAATGGGGCATGCGAGGCAGGGAGAACCCTGCCAATACAATCTGTCA